ATCCTTGACAAAGCGTAGCTCTGTGTTTTCAGCTTCCGCTCTACCTCTCCTAGGTGGGCCTTGGCGGTACATTCTGCTGGTTCGAAGAGTGAGCCGTCAGTCTTGGGCCAGATTGCAGTTGATATCAATACATGGATCAGAGAAAACGGGACTCGTGAACCCTGGCAGGGAGTAAGTATATGGTGCATTCCACACTGGCAGCTTCAGCATGTTAGAGACCTAACTTAAAGTCCCTTTAACTTGCCCGATAAGGGGCAAGGTGGCGTCGGAGTGCGTCTTAAAGCTATGATCCGCTATACGGATGCCGACTTACTTTAAGGTAACAGTTACGTTGCCCCTGAAATCGTTGCTCGAAGCGCCGACAAGGAACACAAAGTCACCAGGCTCAACGACGTACTTCATCCTCGCGTTCCACACCCCCAGATCCTGCATCCGCACCTTGATGCTGACCCGCTTGCTCTCCCCAGCCTTCAGAGACACCTTCTCAAAGCCCTTCAATTGAATGTTGGGCACCACAACACTGGCGATCAGATCTTTCACGTACAGCTGTACAACTTCTTGGCCGTCTCTGTCGGACGCATTCTTCACGGTAACGCTGAGAGTGACGGTATCCTTGGCGCTGACCGACTGCTTGTCCACAGCAACATTGCTGTACTCGAAGGCGGAGTAGCTGAGACCGTAGCCGAATTCATACAGCGGTCTCGGGTCGCCCAGGACATACTGGTGACCAAAGACGAGCGTGCCGTTCTCGTGGGCCATGCCGGCGTCGGGGTTGGCGTCGCGGCCCGAGTTCCAGTGATCGTAGTAGATGGGCAGATCGCCGACATAGCGGGGGAAGCTGACAGCGAGCTTGCCGCTGGGGTTGACGTCGCCGAAGAGAACAGACGCCAGGGCGGCGCCTCCTTGCTCGGACGGGTAGAACTGCTGGACGAGGGCGGCGGCATTCTCCGAGATCCACGGCGCCGTGATGGGCTTGCCGGACGAAAAGACGACAACGGTGGGCTTACCCGTCGCAACGATGGCACGTACGAGCGGTTCTTGGGCGCCGACCAAGTCAAGACTGTTGACGTCAACGTGCTCCCCCGTTGTAGCGTTGAGACCCTGCCACAGCTCGTTCTGATCACGAGACCATGTGCCCACCACAACCACAGCAACGTCGGCAGCCTCAGCAGCCGCGATGGCCTCGGCGAATCCGGCCTGCGAGGTCGACCAACGCTCGCAGCCCTTGGCATAGGTGACCGTACCCTGGCTGACAGTTTTGATGCCATCAAGCGGCGTAACACCGCGGGTCGACGAGTTGACGATGACATAATCTCCATAGTTCATGAAGCCATGTGCCATGGGTCCAATAACGGCAACGGAAGCATCCTTGCGCAATGGAAGAACATTGTTGTGATTCTCAAGGAGGACGATGGACTCCGCATCCAGCTTCTGGGCCAAGGCGACGTGGTCGGCAGCATGGATCACCTTGTTCGCTTCCTCGGACGGGAGGCCCGGGAAGGGGGTCTCGAAGAGGCCGAGCTCAAACTTGGCCTTGAGAACGCGCGAGACCGCCGTGTCCACAAGCTTCTCTTTGATCTTGCCGCTGGCCACCAGCGCAGGTATCTCCTGAAAGGAGTAGGAACCGCCTCCCATCTCCACGTCGCCGCCGGCCGGGAGAATGTACTGAACAATGGCAGTTTTGTCGATTGGGTTCGCCGCGCACATCTTGAAGTCCTTGCACAGGCGGTCCGAGGCGCCGGCGTCCGTCATGGTGAAGTACTTGTATCGCCACTCGTCCCGCAGGATGTCGGTGAGCAGATGGGGATCCGACACGGCTGGAATGCCGTCGTAGCTGTGGTAGGCCGTCATGATGGAAAAGGCGCCGCCATCAACGATGGCTCGCTTGTACGAAGGGAGAAATGTGGTGCGCATCTCCCTCTCGCCGCCATGGACCGGCCCCGTGTTGAGGCCCTGTTCTGTCGAGCCAAAGGCGGCAAAGTGCTTGACCATGGCACTGACGCCAGCAGACTGAGCGCCTTTGACGTAGGCATGGGCGAACTCTCCGGCAAGAAACCCGTCCTCGCCGTACGTTTCCTCGACGCGGCCGTGGCGAAGTTCGCGTGCAAGGTCAGCGACGGGAGCAAACAGTTGGTTTACACCAATGGCGCGGGCCTCCTTGGCAATGACGACGGCCATATCTTGCACCAGAGCTGGGTTCCAGGAGCACGCATGGGCAATGGGAGAGTTGAAGATGGTCGCATTGTCTATTATAATTCAGTCAGAAAAGACATTATTTGGATGGCCGGCACGGAGGTGAGCGCGGTTGGGGACTTACGGGCGAGGAATCCATGTATGCCCTCGGTCTGAACGAATGCTGGGATCCCGAGATAGGTCTGGTTCTGGATGTAGTCCTGCGCCTTCTTGATGTGCTCCGAGAGCCATTCATTTGGCACCGGGACGCCGACGTAAAAGGAGTTACCTCGGTATCGGGTGCTCCATTCCAGGCCTGTCTGGTTGAGAGCACCGGTGGTCTCATTCATCCAATTGCGTATGTCGCCTTGCAGGAGCTGGGATGCCTTCTCCTCGATGGTCATCCGGGAGAGCAAGTCGGACACGCGAGCGTCGACTGAGGCCTTTGGGTTCTTGTAGACGGAATCCTTAAGACTGGGGCGTCCCTTGTCGGCAGCAGTGACGGCCGCCGCAAGAAGCAGTGCCGACGACAGAAATCTCATGGTTGTGATCCCGTGTTAGCTGGGAGGGCGGCGTCGAGCGAGTCGGGGAGAAGAGTGCGCGCTGCCTAGCCGAGATCGCCATGGTGAAAGCAATTCTTGTCGAGCTTATGACTGCCCGTGCCAGCATAGCAATCCACTTGGGAGGTGCGAGGTAGCAACAAAGTCGGTAATCATCAGTGCGCCGGTTGGTGCATTGCATCCTACCAAGACTTCCGGATCAAGAAATGCCGTGGTGTCAGTGAACAATCAGGTTCCATCGCGCAGATCTCGGTACCTAGGTCTCCAGCTTGCCCAGCTGGGCTGGCCTCAAACAACCACATTCCATCATGACCCAGTGGTGTGAAGTTGTCCATGCATGACGTCGGTTTGCGAGCTGTGGAGTTGATAGACGGCTCAACCGGGCCTCGATGCCCTTGGGCACAACGGTCATACATCGAAATCTGCAGGTCCTGCGGCCAGAAACTGAAAGAGTGGTTTAAACGCACCACACCCCGCACCAGAACCTCACTAGTGATCGCTCGAGATGGGGTAGGATCGCGTCTCGAGGCGTTCGCGGAATGCAACGCGGGCTGCTTGTGGAGTCGGTGGGGCTCCACTTCCCCACCAAAGCACACTCGGTTTTCTTTGAGCCGAGCCGCCGAGAGCTTTCCTTCCAGGATCACCAAGGACATGGCATGACCGGTGAAAGAAAATCTGCAAAACCCCTCATCGAGAAGCTCGTACAGATCGCCGTATGTGCCCAGAAACCCCACCAACCCTACCCACCATCTGTAAATATCCGAATCTTGGGTTAGTCGCGATGCCAACACCACGGAGACAAGGGCCCACGAAGGATCGAGAGGAATGCCACATGTCAAGCCAGACAACCTGTTATGGCATCTTTGGCCCAATGGAGGCAGCTTGCACTTGAGATCCTGAGAACTCACCACGCAGTCATCGTGTCTATGCCGAGAAAACAGGTTCCAGGCCGACTGCACCGAACCCTTCTCTCCCAGGTTGAGAGTCCGAGACTGTATAGGCACATCGAGTCAGTTCATTGACCATGAGGTTTCGCGACGGTATGTGCATTCGCAACTTTGTCAGAAGATGGCTATCTGATACCCAGCTTTCTAGGACAATGGCTCGTGGCCGAGGGCGTGCGCATCGAGTATGCCGAGGAGGTCTACCGAATAACGCCAACCCCTTCCGGGAAAGGCATTAGCCTGCTGTGCCCAACGCGCAAGATCATGACGCGCGGCGACACCCTGAATCTTGGTACACTCAGCATTGTACGTTGCGATCCTACCCTGGCGAAAGAGGCGAGGTTCATAATCTCATTGTGTCCAGGACATCGAGGCCGCCATCGACGGCGTCATCTCCGTCGAGACTACCCACTGGCAGGGTGCTGTCCGTCGCGGGCCAGACTTCGATCTTTTCCCTGCAGGCCGCCCTGAGGTGAATGCCAAAATCACAACGACCGAGAATGGCACCACGCTCTCCGCCGGGAGCCTCTCGGCAACAGTCAGCGGCAAACCACACGAGTTCGACATCTCGTTCCACCCGACCGACAGCAGGAAGCCGCTGACCACGCTCCTCAACCGGTCTGTTGGCTTGGCCTATACGCCGGCGCCAAGCACGCCCATGCAGTTGGCCGATGTGCGCAACTTCAAGCATTATATCTTCACGCAAACCACACTCAGCGTCGGCGAGTCTGTTCACGGCCTTGGCGAGCGTTTTGGCCCCTTCAACAAGGTCGGCCAAAAGGTGGACTTGTGGAACGCCGATGGCGGCACTTCCTCGGATCAGGCGTACAAAAACATCAGCTTTTGGATGAGCTCTCGCGGGTACGGAGTCTTCATTGACACGCCCGAGCGCGTTGAGCTTGAGATCGGAAGCGAGCGCTGCTGCCGCGTGCAAACCAGCGTCGAAGGGCAGAGGCTCCGCTGGTACATCATCTACGGCCTCTCCCCTCGCGAGATCCTCCGCAGATACTCGATCCTCACGGGTGTGCCGGGCAGTGTGCCCAGCTGGTCCTTTGGCTTGTGGCTTAGCACGTCCTTCACCACCTCGTACGACGAGAAAACCGTCAACAGCTTTCTCGCAGGCATGCAGGCCCGCGACATTCCGGTCGAGGTGTTCCACTTTGACTGCTTCTGGCTCAAGGCCTTCCAGTGGTGCGATTTCGAGTTTGACCAGGACATGTTCCCTGACCCCAAGGGTCAAATCACGCGTCTGAAGGCCGACGGCGTGGTGAAGAAGGTCTGCGTGTGGACGAACCCCTACCTCGGCCAGGCCTCCCCCGTGTTTGCCGAGGCCGCCGCCAAGGGCTATCTGCTGAAGCGCAAGAACGGAGACATCTTCCAGTGGGACTTGTGGCAGACGGGCATGGGCATTGTCGACTTCACCAATCCTGATGCCTGTGCCTGGTTTGTCAGCTGTTTGGAGAGGCTCTTTGACACTGGCGTCGACTCCATCAAGACGGACTTTGGAGAGCGTATCCCGTCTGAGGACGTGCAGTGGTTCGACTCCTCCGTGGACCCCAAGAGGATGCATAACTACTATGCCTTCATCTACAACAAGCTGGTCTACGAAGCCCTGCAGAAACGCTATGGCGCCAACGAGGCCGTCCTGTTCGCCCGCAGTGCGACGGCAGGGACACAGCGATTCCCGCTCACTTGGGGCGGGGACTGTGAGTCGACGCCCGAGGCCATGGCCGAGTCCCTCCGTGGCGGATTGTCCCTGGGATTGTCCGGCTTCGCTTTCTGGAGCGTCGACATTGGCGGTTTCGAAGGCTACCCGCCGCCCTGGATCTACAAGCGCTGGGTCGCCTTTGGCCTGCTCTGTTCACACTCGCGTTTGCACGGCTCCAACTCATACCGTGTGCCCTGGACCGTGGATGACGACGACCAGTCGGAGGAGGGGTGCTCGGCCACCCTCCGCAAGTGGACGCACCTCAAGGCCCGGCTCATGCCCTATCTGTTCTCGCAGGCCCAGGACTGCGTGAAGAACGGCATTCCGCTCAGTCTTAGGGCAATGTGCATCGAGTTCCCCGAGGACCCGACTGCATGGACCCTCGACCGCCAGTTCATGCTCGGCGATAGTCTCCTTGTCGCACCCGTGTTTGAGGAGGATGGCACAGTTCAATTCTATCTGCCCAACGGAAAGTGGACAAATTTCTTCACCGGAGAGGTGAAGAGCGGCCCCGGCTGGTTCACCGAGACCCACTCATTCGGCTCTTTGCCACTGTATGTCCGCCAAAACACGCTTCTGGTCTTGGGGAAGGAGGGCGAGAAGAGGACTGTCTACGACTACACAACCGATGTGGAGGTGAGAAGTTACTTTGCCAGCGAGGGCGCCGCCGCTGTCCTGGTTGACAGCGAGGGAAAGAGAGTCGGCATCCTGGAGGTCAAGGATGGACAGGTCGTGGGGAAGGACGTCTTGAAGGGCAACTCGGTCATCACTGTCGTGAGCGAGTGAGGCACTTGGGTCGACGTGTCTAGCATGAACAGACGTTAGGAGTCTACTTAGGTTTAGTGCTCACGACTTCCCAGTTATCTGCGAACATGGACCCCACGCACCCCTGAAAGTCCTTGGAACATACAATGTATGCGAGTCGAGATGCGCTTCCAAACGCAGCACTCAAATTCCCAGAGAGCCACTGTCTCCGAACTGATCCTCTGATGTCATCGCTGTACAGACAAGCGATTAAGACATGTCCCTGGGGCATGTCCCTGAGGCCTGTACTGGAGGTGGGGGTCATTCGGGCCGGACTCCCGAACCATCGGCAAGGACGGCATTCAGGGATTGGAGCTGGGAACGTCCTGGGGCAAGCTCAATTCCTGGTTTACATTGGATCGGCAACGGCGTAATCACAGAGCTGAGTGGATTTGGACTGTCTCATATCTCGTCCTCAGCATTGAACTTGGTTGCGACCTGTCCTCCAGCTAAAGGCAAAGAGCTTGTCTCCCGTCCCATCGGATATGGGACTCCAGGATCCGGGAGTACCCCAGTCTTGACCACGGCCCGACCCAAGCCGATATCCATTTCAAGAAATCAGGCCGAAGGATCAAGCTTCTCGGATTTCTCTACACCGAGGAAGAGCCACCCAAGCTCACCCTCACCAACGGCCAACCCCACTCGTCAGCACCGCGATCTCCGGGAGCACACCCAATTGGCGGCATTCAACGACGCACAAATCACATGAAGCGCAACTTCAACCGCTGTTTTTAACCATCAGCAGAGAGAAAATCTTGAGTACGAGGAATCCACCCAAAGGATCCCTCAACCCAAACGGTGGCATGTGTAGGGCACTAATACCGAAATGTTGGACGTGGAACAGTCTTGCAAGACTTGGGATCCGGGGGAAGTAGGCCTGGGTTGCGAGGTGAGCCCATGCTGCACGTGGCGCTGAATAAATACAAGTGTCATGTCCATCTACACTAAAGTCATCCCAAATACGTGCCCATTCCGACGCTAGAGAGCCTGACGGAGAGACTGGAGAGGTAGCAGTCATGGGTAAAGCGTTCAACATCTCCCTTGCGGCCTTCGCCGCTACCGGGTTTGTCTTCCCCAACACCAAGCTTCGTGCAGTCTGCAAAGTAGCCATGCTTACACTGGGAGCGCGGCAGGTCGTTCCTCTTCGGGTATGACTCGGGCGTCATGACCGATGTTATCGCATCCGAGAACTTCCTCGAGTACTTCCACACCGACAAAGGCAGCGCCATCATCGGCGCCATCAACAGCACCTTCTCGGGAGGAGCCGTCTTTGGGTCGTTAATGGGAGGTCTCACCATGGACAGGTTCGGGCGCAGGAAGACCATCATGATCGGGGCGCTCATTGCCCTCGTCGGCTCCATTCTGCAGGCCGCCGCGCAGAATCTTGCCATGATCCTCGTGGGCCGAATCATTGCCGGGTGGGCGGTAGGGCTGCTGAGCATGTCGGTCCCAGTTTATCAGTCAGAGTGTGCCCATCCTAGGATTCGGGGTCTGATTGTCGGCCTGGCCCAGCAGATGATCGGCGTGGGCTTCATTGTGTAAGTCTTGTGCCGCCCAGCATCGCGAAGTGCCCAGAGCCGTTGGATTGAATACTGACCATCCCGAAGGTCCACTTGGGTCGGATACGGATCCGCGCATGCCTATGGCAGCCTAGGCCAGTTCCAGTGGAGGTTTCCCCTTGCCTTCCAGGCCGCTCCCGCCCTGATGCTTGTCTGCGGCATCATGTTCTTCCCCGAGTCTCCCCGCCACCTCATGGAGAAAGACCGCGAGGACGAGGCGATGCGTGTCATTCGGAAATTGCACTTCGACGGCACCAATGAGGACTGGATTCAGAAGGAGTTCCATGAAATCAAAACCACCATTGCCGCCGAGAAGGCCATGACAATTCCGGGTTGGCGCATCATGTTTACCGTGCCACAGTGGCGGACCCGTCTCATGCATGGTGTTGCGGTCCAGGTTTTCACCCAATTCACCGGCATCAACGTGATCGGGTGCGTGGAAGAGCTTGTACCTTGTGAGGAAGTGATACTAATCTTGTCTCCAACAGTTACTACCAGACCCAAATGTACGAAGCCCTCGGCATCGTCGGGAACAGGGCGTTGCTGGTCGCCGGCATCTACAACTGCGTTGGTCCGCTGGCCAACTTGATCTTCATCACCTTGATGATCGACCGGGTTGGCCGCCGCCGCCCTCTCCTCTGGGGAACAGCCGCCATTGCCATTGCCCTCATCTGCGAGTCCGCCATCAACAGCCGGATCGACAAGGCGAACCCGGATCACGGACTCTCTATCGGTGGCGTCTTCTTCATCTTTTGCGTCACCGTCATCTTCTCCTGGTCTTGGGGCCCCATCTCGTGGGTGTACATGTCCGAGGTCATGCCTATGCAGATTCGTGCCCGCGGCAACGCCTTCGCGACGGGTATCGGCAACTGGCTTGTCTCGACCTTCTGGGCACAAGTGTCCCCAATTGCGCTTAAAGAGCTCGAGTGGAAGTTCTACTTTCTGTTTGTCGCCTGGGACATCCTCGTCACCATCCCTGTTGTCTTCTTCTTCTTCAAAGAGACAAAGCAGATGTCTTTGGAGGAGATTGATCTTCTCTTTGGGGAACGATCCCTAGGTGCTCTCCCTAAAGACCTCGACAAGGGTGATATTATTCAAGCAGAAGCGCACGGGGTTGATGAGAAATCAGCCTAAAATGACAGCTGGGCTAGCTTGTTGCTAGGGTGGGGTGTTAGGACACGAGTTAGCAAGTCTGCCTGAATGAATCGATTCGGTTGACATCTTTCTAAACTTTACCTCTATTTTCTTTCTCTGTGCCGTTTGCTGGTGTCTGTCTAGCCCAAGTCAAGTCAAGCTTGCGGTTCTTCCTGTTGGTCTCGTGGAAACCTTGAGGCTAACAGGATCACGCTACCCGCAGCCTCTTGCTTGAAAACCGCTGACATTTACCCGGTTGCCTCTTTCAGGCTGCATTGATGGACGCTTGAACTACCTTAGGCTGACGGATTACCACTCAGGTACTTTCACATGGTTAGACTACCCCTCCCAAGCGGCCGGGTCAGGATTGGCATCAAGCTCATTAGTACAGCTTCGGTGACTGACATGCCTATTTTAGTAACTCTTGCCCCTCTCGAAGGAATCTCGTCATCCTGGTAGTCATCACGAATCCGGGGAAGAGTGTCAGGCGGGATGTTACCTTAGATCGCGAATCGAATTCACCTGCGGGCCCGATTGGCGCGCCTTACCCCAGGTCGACGCGCTCAATTTAGCCTCATTGTTGCCCCTGGTTTATGACTTTTCCCTATGCAGTCGACCGGCAATGACCTCGGCTTGTGATCTATGATGGAAGCGGAGGACTTCAAGCTGAAGCTGAAATTGAACCATGAGACTCAGCACATGATTGCAACAGTACATAAGCCTGGACGTAGCTCGGAGAGGTGCTGCCGTCCATCAATGTGACCAACAGCGCCGACAATCTGGAGAACACACAGAACTGGCAACCATGCGTTTATCACTCCCAACAATATTCTCTTTTGCTGTGGCCAGCGCGGCCTTGCCTCAGCCTCATGGACCCCCGGACCCAGACAGCCCCAAGCCTTTCAGTACCTTCAGCAACCGCGTCATCTGGACTCCGCCGAAAGGAGGCCGAGCCATGTACCCGCGTCATGCCGAGCTTCGAGACGGCACTCTCCTGGTCACTGCCAACGTTTTTGGACTTACCGGCGGCCCTGGGAACCTTCCCATCTTTCCCATCTTCGAAAGCAAGGACGGCGGTGTGACCTTTCAATGGATCTCCAACCTCACGGACCAGGTCAACGGTTGGGGCATGGTCGCCCAGCCCGCCCTCTATGAGCTGCGGAAGCCCCTTGGGGGATTCAAGTCCGGCACCATCTTGGCGTCGGGCAACAGCTGGAGCAACAATGGAACGCGGATCGACTTGTACGCCAGCACAGACAAGGCAAGAACCTGGCAATTTGTGAGCCATGTCGCCGCGGGTGGTCGGCCAAACACGACCAACGGCGCGACACCTGTGTGGGAGCCGTTCTTACTGTACGTTTGTCGCATTTTTATGTTTTTCTTGTACCTCCTCTTCCTCCTCACGCTCCTTCCATTTTTTCCTCTTGATTTTTCCGTTGTTCACATTATCATCGTCTTCTTTCTCCGTCCTCCTGTCCCTGTTCCTTTATGTGCCTGTCTTCCTTATCTTCCACCTGCATCCACTCCCTCCTCCACTTCATATCCGTCTGCTGCTTCAGGTCAGAAATCTTCTTTATCATAATCATCTTCTTCGTGCTTTCCATGTCAAGATGAATTAGCGTTACTAAGATTCTGTCAGCGCTTACGAGGACGAGCTCATCGTGTATTATTCCGACCAACGCGATCCTAAGCACGGCCAAAAGCTTGCCCACCAGCGTTCGCGCGATCTGAAAACCTGGGGCCCCGTCGTCAACGATGTCGCCTACGACGAGTATCTGGCCCGCCCGGGCATGACCGTGGTCGCCTACATCCCGCCCCTCAAGAAGTGGATCCTTGTAAGAAGCCTGTCTGTGCAGCCCTCTAATCGTGCCATGGCTTATCCTGAACTGCAAGGTTTACGAACTCCCTGTCGGTAACTCAAGTTCCCACGGCGTCAACTACCCTGTTCATTACCGGTTGGCCGACGATCCAAGAAAGTTTGACTCGGCTGAGCATATCCCGATTGTCATCAACACCAAGAACGGTACCGTGGCGCCAAATGCTTCGCCTTATGTCGTCTGGTCTCCCGTGGGAGGACCGAAGGGAACCATCGTCGTGTCGGACGCTGATCGCAGCGCAGTTTATGTCAACACCGCTGGGGCCGATCCGGACAAGTGGGAGATCAAGGAAGTCGGCCAACCCGAGGCTTACAGCCGCGCGCTCCATGTCTTTGAGAAGAGGCCGGAGCATCTCATGGTCCTGGGCGGTGATACCTTTGACGGAAACGGTGTTGGGGCCTTGGTCAATAGTGTGTTGGACGTCAGAAAGGTGCTGGATGGAGACTGGAAGCCTGAGCCAGACCCAAAGCCGCCTGCATGCAAGGCGGCTTGATATTGCGAGGTCTCTGCTCCGTGATCTGTCCCGAACATGCCAATCTACATCATGTGTGAGCTTAAGTGTGCGAATTCGGAGAGGTTTTGAATGGCTTGGCGAATCGGAGATCAGTATACTCTGTCTCTTACGTTATGTGAATACGGATAGTTGCCGCAAGGCTTCAACATGTGTACGCACTTTGAGGCAAAGAGCAGTTTGAAACTCTTAGGAGGGAAGGGAATCGAGTCCCCATAACTTGGATCGCAGCCTGGTCAATTCGACCTCAAACCCTTTCCATCGCCGGCATCAAGTTACCTACCATAATCCCCCCCCAAAGCGGCATCAACGGCTGTACACCCGTTGGGCGGTGTCATTCTGGACATTCTCGACCGCCTCCGTCCCGGTCGCCTGCGCACGCTTGCCTTCCATCATCATCTCTTCTCCCCGCGCCGCATGGTTGGCGCCGCCAAACAGGGCGTCGATTTCCTCCAGCGGAACCTGCTTGGTCTCGGGTATGAAGAAGTAGACAAACGCGGCCAGCAGCAAATTGATGCCCGCAAACATGTAGAATGCGTAGAAGCCGCAGTTGTTGAGAAATATGGGGAAGAACTGCTGGAAGATGGCGTTGGCGACGTTCTGCACCTGCGAGCACATGCCCACAGCCTGGCCTCGGATGTTCATACTCCAGATCTCGCTGGTGAAGATCCAGACGGTCGCGCCCCACGATGGTTTGTCTGTGGCGGGATCGGTTAGCGTACCTGGGGTTGGTGAAGATATACTTAGAACTACCCACAGAAGAAGATGAACAAGAACAGCAGGAAGACGATTGAGATGCCGACAGATGTTGTCTTGGCGCCGCCAGGGGATGGCGTTTCCGTCTCGACGGCAGCGACGATGACCATGCAGACGCCCATGCCGACACCGCCGGCCATGAGCAGATATTTGCGCCCAAAACGATCGATGATCCAGATAGCGTTGAGAGTGAAGATGATGCCAAACGTGGCGTTGAGAGCATTGATGAGCGCGATCTGGCCCGAGCTGGTGAAGACCTTTTGGTAGATCTTGGTCGAGTAGGTGTTGAGCGTGCCCTGGCCCGTCAGCTGCTGACCGGCATTGAGGATCGAGCAGAGCAGGAGACGCTTTCGGAGGGATGGGTCTTTCCAGAGTGCCGAGTAGCTGCCCGAGATAGCTTCCTTCTCGTAGTCGATTGCTTCCCGGATCCTCAGCAGCTCCTCCTCGACCTCCTCGGGCGTTGCTCTGACTTTCAGGAGTGCATTCCGCGCCTTCTCGATATTGTTGCCTCGTTGAATGAACCTGTCTGGTCAGTCCGACCATCCCGGGGAGTCGTGGGGCGAGACTTACCACCGCGGTGACCCAGGAATTGTCGGGAGAAGGCACAGAATGATGACGGGGACAAGGAGCTGGAATATGACCACCATCTTCCAGTCCCATTCACCCAAGTTTTGCTTATGCTGTGTACAACCGTAGTTGACCCAGAAGCAGATGAAGGATCCGACCGAATAGAATGTTTGCCAAAATGTCATGATCTTGCCGCGAATTTCGGGCGGCGCCAGCTCACCGATGTAGATGGGACCCGCAGCTAGGAGCAATAATCGTCAGCCGTTTTGTCCTTTGGAAATCACAGGGTCGGTGGTCCGCACTCAAGGCAATCCCCTGGCCAATACCGATGATGCAGCGGCCAGCCAAGAAACACGCGATGTTGTGTCGCGGAGAGAAGGTCTGCATGAAGGTGGCACCAATCACCAAGACGCACCCCGTGGCCATGCCGACCTTTCGCCCCAGGTAGTCGGCCACGGGGCCGCCGAGAAAGAAGCCTCCAAAGATGGCACCGACTGTGTAGGCCGTATTTACCGCTCCGATCGTGTTAGGGTCCGGGTCGTTGAAATAGGCGACCCAGTTCTTGGAGCCTTGGACAGAGTTGTAGACGGACGCATCGTAGCCGTACAAGACCATGCATGCCGCCGCGACAAGGGAAATGTACCTGGGGGAAGAACTAAGCTTTAGCCAAGCGTTGAAACGACGGGAATGCGCACCAATTGAAGAGTCTTGTCGAGCCAAAATCGAGTCCCATGGTGGTGTGTCGCTCTTGGCTGCAGGCCAAGAATCTCGCACGGACAAAATCACAAAGACACGGCAGTTCAGGAGATGGCGTTTCTTGGTACGGATCGCCAAGACGGGAAGGGGAAGGCTCATATATCAAACCAAACATTTGACCACACAGTCCTTCTCCTAGACTTCCTTGTGTCCTCCAGGCACGCTGGTCCCCACTCCCCGTGAAGCAACAGATAGTCATGGACCGAATCTTGAGCCCGGACATGCCGACCGGTGGAGTCTTGGGTGCGGGGTGGGCAACAAAAGGCCTGTCACTCCGCCTTCTGAGGACCCCATGGGGCAGAAGACCGCGATTGGATTCGAGGAAATTCGAGGCGTGCTGACGATGTTTGTTTATCACTTTATCTTCCACGAATCGGCGACGTCTCGAGCCCACTCAATGACACACGTTCAGGGAACAGCCTTAGAAGCCCTGCAGTTTGCGTTGCAGCAACCCCAGATCTCGAGTCAGGTTGCGCGTTGTACGTTGCTCCTATTGGCTGTCCCTCCCAACGTGGCATGAGCTACGTTAAGATGAACTTGAAAAGCTGAAATCAAGGTGTCGATGTTGAGCAGTTAGTAGTGTAATGAAACAACCCACGGACGTGTCGTTGAACACTAGCCGTAGGGCTAAGAGCTGTCGTTCTGAAACGAATTAGGAGCTACAGTAACATAACCCCGACTCGTTTACGCTCTGAGCCCACCAAACCTTCTCCCGAGTCCCGTCTTTACTCTGTCACTGCACTTTTCCCCCATCTCAACCCTTCTCGCTCCATCATCCAAGGCAAGGGAAGCGTCGCCAGACGCAGCACCGCAAACACTACAAAGCACCAACCTGGCCCGGGTGACCTAAGCATGACGTCCAGCGCTGCTAAGCCCCCAGCTGCAAGCTCGCATCGAGAGAAGTTATTGAGAGCCTGAATGGGCAGACGGATTGCTAGGGTGTAGGTCGACAAGCAACGCTTTGAGTGACTGTTCCCTGTCATTAGTTGGAGAAATAAGAGAAAAAAACAGAAGAAAATAAAAATTGAAAAAAGACCCAACTGGGAATGACTGTACTGTGAAGTTAACCTGGTTTGTAAATCCGATGAGGAACTGTAACGCCAGCGGGACGGCAAGATGCTTATCTATTATTATTCTTATTCCTACACCGCTGTCCCCTAGGGCGTGTCGGATTTTCAACACCTATACTATACAGGAAAACCGCCCCCTCGTGGGCCGGGTGAAAATCCCATATCGACAATCAAGGAAACGATCAGTGTATGATCCTGGAAATACAAAGTGAGAAAGCCTCTTAGCCTTCGAAGGAAAGGGATATCAACCGCGAGCTCCAGCTCCAGCCTCCTGGACAAACTGTACATCGGCAGTTTCCCCGAGTCCATCAGCCAGTCCAGGATCCTCCCCGTTAGCCGTGCAGCTTTGGGACTGATTCCCTGTAGGACAGAAT